ATAAATTTAAAACTCTATAGCAAATGTTATATTTCATTTCCTTTAAAAACCAAAATGGCATAGCTGCCCACTGTGATTCCCTGTATGTAGCATTGTATTATAAATTCTAACCAGGATAGAATGGCAAGAAAAAGAAATCAAACATTTAAGCATTAGAAAAAGAGAAATAAATTGCATTATCTGCTGATGATATGAATGTCTAGCTAAATTATGTTAGGAATAGAGAAATTAGAAAGACTGGATACCTGATCAATATATAAAAATATCTGCATTTCTATATACCAGCAACAATCAGAAAATAATTTTTAAAGGGTATTCACAATATCAGAAGAAAGAAAGAAAGAGAGGGAGGGAGGGGAGAGAGAGTACCTAATAATAAATCTAACAAAAGATGTGCAAACCTTTGGTGGGGAAGTTACAAAACTTTACTGAAAGACATTAGATATTAAAGAAGACCTAAATGAATGGAAAGTATATTGTGTTCCTGGATAGGAAGACTCATTTATCAGGAACATATCAATTTTGTCCAAATTGCTCTACAAATTCAATGAAATAATCAAAATTCCAACAGTACTTTTTATAAGACTTAACAAGCTAATTGAACTCCCATGTTCACAGCAGTATTATTCACAATAGCTGAAAGATGGAAGCAATCCAAGTGCTCATGGAGCGGTGAATGGATAAACAAAATGTGTGTGCACACAATGGAATATTATTCAGCCCTAAGAAGGAAGGAAATTCTGACACATGCTACAACGTGGACATTGAAAACACTGTGGTAAGTGAAATAAGCCAGTTACAAAAAGACAAATACTGTATGATTCCACTTAGATGAGGTACCTAGAATAGCAAAATTCACAGAGAGAGAAAGTAGAATGGTGGCTGCCAGGGGCAGCAGGGAGGGAGAAACGGGAAGTTAGTGTTTAATGAGTACAGGGTATCAGTTTTTGTTTTTTTTTAAAAAGATGACCGGTAAGGGGATCTTAACCCTTTACTTGGTGTTGTCAGCACCACGCTCTCCCAAGCGAGCTAACCGGCCATCCCTATATGGGATCCGAACCTGCGGCCTTGGTGTTATCAGCACCGCACTCTCTCAAGTGAGCCACGGGCCAGCCCCAGAGTTTCAGTTTTACAAGATGAAAGGGTTCTGGAGATGGTTGGTGGTGACGGCTGCACGTTATGAACGTATTTCATACCACTGAACTCTACACTTAAAAATGGTTAGGATGGTACATGTTGTGTAACATGTATTTTACTGCAACAAAAAAATAATTTTTTTTGTAATTGAGGAAAAAAATCCATTAATAGAGGCATAGTTCAGTAAGTTACAACACAGCTGCGCTGTGGAATCCTGTTCAACCATAACGTAAATGAAGTTAACCAGTCAGATTTTNACAGCTGCGCTGTGGAATCCTGTTCAACCATAACGTAAATGAAGTTAACCAGTCAGATTTTAACTTTCAAAAAATTCAATTAGCAAAACAATGTACCCAATAGGATTCTATTTATCTATTTACTTTAAAATAGTTTTTGAAACTATAATCTCTGTGTATGTACAAAACATAATATAAGGGGTGTGGGTGTGTGTGATTGTACATTTGTCAACTCATAGAAAATAGACTGGAAGGGAGACCCCACAGTGGGACTTTGGGGAAAGGGAGAGGGGTTGGGGAGGGAGAGCAGCCAAGAGGACTTTCGGATCTTGCTGTATGTATTCATGACCTTCTGAGCCTTTCCAATGAGCAGGTATTGACGTATTTGTTGTATAATTATGTTTTTTAAAAAGTGTTTTAAGACCCAGGTGACACTGAGCTAGATGCCTCGTGGACTAATGACATACTATTATGCACCATCCGGAGGTAATTTACTCTGTCGTAAGTGTGCTGAGTGGTTGTCGTTCCTGGATAAGGGATGTGGAAACATAACCAAGTGTTAGAAAAGAAGGTGATCTCATAGTTGCCTGTGAACTTTGCACATTTTATTCTTGCACTGATTTA